ATTTGTTAAGTGAGTTTTGCTCCATTTTACGACTTTTCTTCCCACCGTTGTTAAGTGAATCAGTGCGGCTGTTAAGTTAGTAATGCAATTGTGAAGCGAATCTGACTTCCCCATTGACTTTGCTTGTCACATGACCCGGAGAGACTAGCACCGTCAAAAAAGATGAATCAGTTGCCGAGCTTCTGCATTTTGATCACGTAACCCTGAGGATTGCTGCAATGGTCGTAAGTGTGAAAAAAATGGTCCTAAGTCACATATTCCAGTGGTGTTGCACCTTTGAACGGTCACTAAAGAAACCGTTGTTAAGTCGAAAACCTTCTTTTTCTATGTCGTCTCTAAAATCAATTTCATCCAAAAGCATTTGTTAAGTTATCAGCTTATGCCCTCCAAAATCTCCATTCTAAAAAAAAGTCTTCTTGTAGTAAAACCTCTAAGGGCAATTTAGGAAATAACCTTTTTTTGTAACTATTCCAAACTCTATGTCATGCTTCCAACAAATGAAACTCTTCAAAGAACTTCGAGGCATTGTTTATCTTAAAGAATCTTTATTCGAGTAGTATAGCATCGGCACGTACATGGTCGAAGCCGAAATCTGAATTCCCCTACCCTGAACACATAGTATCAAAATACAATTCCATCCTCTAAGTAACAGTCATACATCACACATTCTCCAATTAGCTTGAAATGCAGGTTTTCCCTCCAGTTCTCCAGCCCGCCAATTCTTATCGTCTCTTATTTCAATAACCTTGGTTCACACACTAGGTTCAGTATTGTTATGTCTTGGTAAACTCCCATGCACATTTCTCCTCCTCCTCCCCCCAGTATCACCTAATTCTAACTCTAACTCTAAAACATAAGAAGTGATGGGAGCTGGACACCCCCTCCCCACTCCAATGAGGGAATGATCTGGAAAAACCCCCAAACAAACTGACCTGAGTCAACAGCAGCCTAAGTCTAAAACGGCACACACTTGACACACACAATGAGGAACCAGTTAGCAACAATCAGGATTAACAAATACACAACAATAAAGATAATTAACACCTTTTAGGCAAGAAATTTAACCAACAATAGTCACTGACCAGCAAATCAGGAAAGTGAGATTCCTCTTTCCGGTAGCTGGCTTCACGATCTATTTCTTCCACGCCGCACCGTCAAGAGGAATCCCAGCTGGAAGGACCGAATGGGGGAGTTCCTCCCAACAGGAGGAACAGCGGGTGGACAGAGATCGACCCCTAGGCGCCTCGATCATGGGGTGCCTCAGGGCTCGGTCCTGTCCCCCCTCCTTTTTAACATCTACATGAAACCGCTGGGTGAGATCATTCGGCGACATGGGGTGAGGTATCATCAGTACGCGGATGATACCCAAGTATATATCTCCACCCGTGTCCTTTCAGTGAAGCAGTCGACGTGATGTGCCGGTGCCTGGAAGATGTGAGGGTCTGGATGGGGGTGAACAGGCTTAGACTCAACCTGACAAGACCGAGTGGCTCTGGGTCTTGCCTCCCAAAGGCCAACTGGATGGTCCATCTTAGTCCTGGGGGGGGCAAATTTACCTCCCTCAGTGCAGGCACGCAACTTGGGTGTCCTCCTGGACTCACAGCTAAATTTGGAACAACATCTATCGGCTGTGGCCAGGGGGACCTTTGCACAGGTTCGCCTAGTGCACCAGTTGCAGCCTTATTTGGACCGGGAGGCTTTACTCACAGTCACTCATGCCCTTGTCACCTCAAGACTGGATTACTGTAACGCGCTCTACATGGGGCTACCCTTGAAGGGCGTTCGGAGGCTGCAGTTGGTTCAGAACGCAGCCGCGAGAGCGATTGTGGGCGCGCCAAGGTACGCCCACGTGTCACCTATCCTCCATGAGCTGCACTGGCTTCCTGTGGGTCTCCGGACGCAATTCAAGGTGTTGGTTATCACCTTTAAAGCCCTTCATGGCATAGGGCCAGGTTACTTACAGGACCGCATTCTGCCGCACAGTTCCCAGAGACCGGTGAGGTCCCATAGATTGGGCCTCCTTCAGGTCCCGTCGGCCAGACAATGTCGGCTGGCGGGCCCTCGGGGAAGGGCCTTTTCTGTGGTGACTCTGACCTGGTGGAATCAACTTCCCCCCGAGGTTCGAACTACTCCCACCCTGCCGGCCTTTAAGAAAGCCGTTAAGACTCTCCTGTTCCGGCAGGCCTGGGGCTGATGTCCCCCGGGGGGGGCGGGATATGATCGGACTCGCGGTATGACTGTATTATTTTATGGTTTTATGATTGTTTTAACTCTGTACGCCGCCCTGAGTGCTTTGGGATTGGGCGGCATATAAATAAAATTAAATAAATAAATAAATAAATAAACAGAAGGAAAATGGTTGCATCTCCATATGTTGTCAAAGCAAAAATATCCGATGTTAACAGCGTTGACACTCTAAGTATGTCATGTCTAACAAGAGGATTCCTAAACACTAGACTAATTTTTCATTTCTTGTACCATAAATAACCGTGTGAATCGAATCTCAGTCCCATGATCTTAAAACTCCTAATGGCTATCTTCAGTGCTCTTTTTTTAAAAAAAAAAAAAAAAAAAAAAGGTGCCGGAACTCACACATGTCATACAACCCGCCTTGCCTACCCTACAAGTTTCGTCCCAAAAAGGTGCTGGAACTCCGTTCTGGGTGTTCTATGATAAAAAAAGCCTGATTATCTTTAATCGCTTCCTTTGCATCTTGCGTGCAATTCCACTTTAATCTGCCAAAGTCAGAGACTCATATTATACAAGTTCTTTTTCTCTTTCTGAGAAAGTCTACAGATTGGTTCAGCTCAATTCCTCTTTTGCTGAAGAAGAAACTAATACATCAAGTGGAGACCAACGGGAATGTTATCCTTAGATTCTGAACAAGATCTGCTGGTCTCTTCTGGAGATTCTTCCTATCCACACCAGGTATGTCAGTAGTAAAAGCCAAATTTCTGTTGTGGTAATTGTTACTTACAGCGTATCCTGGCATTCAGGATAGGACTTGGAGTCCATCAGGATGGGATCAGCAAGTCCTACAGGATCCTCTGGCAAATAACAGAACTCAATTTAACAGCAATTTTTTTTTCCAGGATAGTGAGACACCAATGTTCTGATCTCTAATTCCAATAAATCTTAATAGATATATATTATGAAGTCTATTCTCATGCTCTTAATTGTTAGCTGCTACCTTTTAAAAGATTTTCTCTCACTTTTTAAAATGTCTTTCCTTAGTTATTGTATTGTCTTGCTGGTGCTTTGATGGGAAAAGGGAAATTTCACAATAAAGATTAGTATTAGTGTTTAGTATTAGTATGCTAATATTAGTATTAGAATTCATAGTTTGGGTATGTTGTTTGAACTACCTCACTGATATTAATCTTGCCAATCAATGACACCCATCTTTGAAGAACAATGGAAAACTCATCAAGTTGGTGAAAGCCCTTAATTTTTTTTTTTTCAAGAGCTACAGCTGACAGAATTTTTAATAGTTATTGCATTTGAAAGCTGGTCTTTTAATCCTGTTCAGGCTTGGACTCTAAATATAGTCTGATTACTTCATAGACTGATTTTCAATTTGGTATTTCTTGTTTCTCCTTCCAAGTTATGATTCAGTTTTTCAGCATATCCTTTCCACAGAATTTGTAGAAACGCTTTCTCATTCTGTAAAGTCAGTTCCTCTTTTCTTTGATGGGAAAATTTGTTCCCTTTGCTGAATAAATTCTGCTTTTCCCACACAGCTACATCAAATACAGTCCCAAGTGGATTCCTCAAAGTAACCTAACTTTCTGGACCTCCTGGGATTCTCAAAGAGATCTCTTGATTCTCACCAAGAATTTTTATACTGTATGTCAGTGTTTCCCAAACTTGACAATTTTAAGGCATGTGGACTTCAACTCCCAGAATTCCACAGCCAGCGTTGCTGGCTGTGGAATTCTGGGAATTGAAGTCCTCATGCCTTAAAATTGTCAAGTTTGGGAAACACTGCTGTATGTGATTGCCAGGTATACCCTTAGCAAAGAATTTGTTAGAGGAAAATAACTTTCTGCTAGTTCACGATGACTCCCAGGAACTGACTTGTTTGGAGACCGTGTGGAGGTTTCTGATGTATCCTCTATAGAGAGCCTTAGAGCATTTACAACTTGTACCTCTAAATTATAAGCAGAGGGCCAATCCTCTTTAATGGGGGTTCAGGCTTGACCAAGTGTCCCACAGCCCTTATCAAGTCTAATCTGGAGTGACCCACAATTCTGCTTTTGCTATTCTACACAGAGGGATAGAATCAAGATCACATGAAGTGTTAATACCACTTTACAATGCCTTGGTAAGGCCATACTTGGAATACTGCATGCAATTTTGATCGCCACAATGTAAAAATGATGTTGACACTCTAGAAAGATTACAGAGAAGAGCAATAAAGATGATTAGGGTACTGGAGGCTAAAGCATATAAGGAACAGTTGCTGGAATTGGGCATGTTTAATGAAGAGAAGGATGAGGGGGGACATGATAGCTGTGTTCCAATATCCCAGGGGCTGCCACAAAGAAAAGGGAGTCAAGCTATTCTCCAGAGCACCCAAAGGCAGGACAAGAAGCAACGGATGGAAACTAATCAAGGAGAGAAGCAACCTAGAACTAAGGAGGAATTTCCTGACAGTGAGAACAATTAACCAGTGGAACAACCTGCCTCCAGAAGCCTCTTCCTTTCTACCAACAACCTGCTTCCAGAAGTAGTGAATGCTCTAACACTGGAAGTTTTTAAGAAGAGACTGGACAGCCATTTGTCTGAAATGGTATAGGGTTTCCTGCCTGAGCAGGGGGTTGGATTAGATGACCTCTAAAGTCCCTTCCAACTCTGTTATTCTGTTATCCTGCTACACTGGTTTTGTATGGCTAGCGAGCCAACAATGACTGAATTTCCCAATAACACAATTCATTATGCCATTTGGACAATCAGAAGCACAGTTGAGTTTACTCTTTGTATTTCTCCTTGAACTGCAGTGTCCTGGACTGTCCTCCTTAACCACTGATCTGAATTTATCCAAACGGACAAAGAACAAATTTTGCAGAATGAGAGATGAATTTCTTTCCTTCAAAGGTAGGAACAGCACGTAAACTACACCATCTCACTTTCCTTTGTGAGGACTACTGATGAATCAGAACCTCACGTGTTCATAATACCTCATCACCTTATTCCAAAATTTTAAACTCTTCTACCAGATCATCGTTCCCCCAATTCCTGGGGTCAGGAGGGGGGCATCAGCATTTTAAAAACATTAAATGGATACATTCACAAAGTGGCTTCTGAGGGACACATTCATAAAGTACGTCTTATGGCAGGAATGTCAAACTCAATTTCATTGAGGGCCACGTCAGCATTGCGGTTGCCTTCGGGGGCCGGGTGGGTGTGGCCAGGGTGGGTGCGGCCTACTGGGTGGGTATGGATGGAATGGGTGTGGCCTACTGGATGGGCATGGATGGAGTGGGTGCAGCCTACTGGGTGGGCATGGATGGACTGGGTGTGGCCTACTGGGTGGGCATGGCCAGTTCTACATCGTTCGTGTCAAGGGTGCCTGTGGGGGCCTGGGCAGGATTGGGACAGATCTGAGGGTCTCTGGTGAAGGGGGTGGGACCGAGGCAAGCGCCAAGGCATGGTCCATTTCTTCATTCCTCACAAAGGGTGACACCTCCCCAGCATGCACCTGGGGGGGCAATGCAGCAGGGGCTGGTTCCTCGCTGTTTCTAGACAGCCTTGTGGAACTAAGACTGAATCCGTTTCAGCATAGATGGCCACTACAAAATTGTACATTGGCTCCCGGCCAGCCTGGGCCAGGGCCAAGGCAGTGGGGGCCGTTCCCTCACTGTTTCCAGGATGGCTTCGTGGGCCACATGAAACCACTTTGCGGGCCGCATCCGGCCCGCGGGCCTTGTGTTTGACATGTCTGACTTACGGAGAATTTAAGAATATGTACCTGCCACATCCTGCAGGCAACAACATCCCAGAAAGACACAAGGGATGCAGTCACCCTCTGTGTTATTCAAGAGGCACAGAAGCATTTCTGAAAATAAAGGAAAAAAGAAGGGTGGGAAAAATATTTTCCTTTTCATAATGAACATTTTTGAATTAATTATCAGATTAAATAATTCTGGGGCAGCTTAGAGAGGAAGTAATAACCGAGTGTTGGCTAATGATTATGTATATATATAGACTGCCTTCAAAAAGACGCAAATCTGTATGGAATAATTTTCTAAAATTCTAATTTTCTAAAACACATTTGGATTTTTGCTGCCTGCTTTTATGGATCATAATCCTGACTTAACTATAATTTCTTCCATAGATGATGAGGACTATAGTGGAAGTGGTGACATCTATAATAGTGGATATGAACACCAAGATAAGTAAGTATATTATGGTACAAAATATTTTCTTTGCAGAATGGAGTTAATCTTCCAATTATTTCATAATATTCTAAAAGAAAAAAAATGTTTAGGTGTGTGTCATGTGTTTCGCTTTGAGAGCGGGCAACTAAATTTCATTTTTGATATGTGCTGTTGTGCCCACAGTAAAAAAATGACAATAAAGGTTATCTTATCTTATCTTATCTTATCTTATCTTATCTTATTTTATCTTATCTTATCTTATCTTATCTTAACTTATCTTATCTTATCTTCCCTGCTCTGTCCATTGCAGCTGCTGAAAAGGGAGCCCCTTGTAAAGGACGGAAATTGCTCAATTCAGGAATAGCCAACACCGCACAATAATAATAATAATAATAATAATAATAATAATAATAATAATAATAATACCCCCAGTAAGGCACTACCCCCCCAGTAAGGCACTACCTTGACCCCCAGTAAGGCACTACCTTGACGTGGTTGTGGGGCTTGTGTACTCTGAGGAAGATGAGAGCTATGCCAGAGGTTCAACCATACTGGACAGGTCTCATCAGAGGAGTCAGACAAAGAGTGTCTCTCCCATAAAAAATATGGTGAGACGTAAATTTCAGAATGCCATACCGGCTCGGACGTCGCCCGGGTTAACAAGGTCCGCGCTAGATATGGAGTTCCTGGATATCTGGTGAAAAATGGGTTACAGGACTCAGGACTGTTGGCTGAGCAACCAGGGCCAGCAGCTGCAGAACTACTGGAAGAAAAGGTGTTTACCCGTCGCAGATACACAGTGATGGAAAACAAAGAAATAATGATCTGTTACTACAGATCAAGTCCAACAAGAAGAGGATATCTAAAACGAATGCACCAGTTCTGGAAAGAACAACATCCAGAATCAGAAATAACAGAACAGAGACTAGCAGATCAACGCCGATTTATAACACGAAATAAAGTATTCACAGAAACAGAATTGGACGAACTGCAAAGGTTTACCCAGGGCAAAGAAATCAAAGCCTTACCAGAAGTAATTCAGAATGTAGAGGCAAACCAGGGGGAGTTGGCAGTGAAGGAATCCAGCAGAGATATACAACTGTTCTCATTTGGAAACCAGGCACCTCTTCCTCAGGAAGAACAAAACCCTCTAACTAAAGAAATAAAAGAATTGAAACAAAGAATAACTGAGCATCTAGAACAGCACAAAAACAACAGAATAAGGCTACCTGCATTGAAGCTTGTTCCAAAGAAACAGCTAGCACAAGCATTAAAAGATGCAAATACTGCAATATCAAGTATAAGCACCAATTCACTGCAAGAAACAAACCAACTAATGTACAGCACAGCTGCAGTTATAACAGAATACCTGGGATGCAAAATCAACAAAAAGAAAAACAAACAAACAGTGCACCAGAAAAATGGAAGGTTAGACTAGAAAATAAGATCAGCAAGTTAAGATCACATGCAAGCAAGCTAGAACAGATGAAAGAAAAGAAGCTGAAGAACAAGAAGACCAAAGAATACCTAATCAAGAAATACCACTTAGAAACAAGGAAGATCAAGGAAGCACTGGAAATAATAAAGCAACAAATAACAGCTATAGCCAGGAAAATCAGTAGATATGAAGCTCGAATTGCAAACTATAGGCAAAACCTCCAATTTCAATCCAATCAGAAACGTTTCTACCAATCCATCAATGGAGAAACTGCAAGGAATCAGTTAGTACCTGACAAGGAAGAAACAGTGCAATTCTGGAAGCAGATATGGGATAACCCAAAGAAATACAACAAGGATGCGGCTTGGTTAAAAGAGGTGGATGCAAATAAAACAGAAGTTGAAATGAAAGAACTAGTAATAACAACAAAAATGGTAGAAAAAAGAGCAAGGAAAATCAAAAATTGGTCAGCACCAGGTGAAGATGAACTGCATGGGTTTTGGTTGAAACATCTAACTGTTATACACCCACTCATTGCCAAGCAGTTCAACAATATACTACAAGGAGGAGAAATTGAAAAGTGGCTAACAACTGGGAAAACCTACCTAATAATGAAAAATCCAGCAAAAGGGGCAACACCAGGTAACTACAGGCCAATTACCTGCTTACCAACAACTTTCAAATTACTAACTGGTGTGGTAGCTGATGCAGTACAACAGCATCTAGTTGAAAACAATCTCTTTCCACCTGAGCAGAAAGGAAACCGCCCCAATAGCAGAGGAACAAAAGATCAACTCCTAATAGACAAAATGATCTTGGAAAACTGCAAGAGAAGGAAGACCAACCTGAATGTGGCATGGATTGACTACAAAAAGGCATTTGACTCTCTGCCACATGATTGGATAATCAAGTGCCTAGAAATAACAGGAGTCAGTAGAAACATCAGAAAATTTGTGCAAAGATCGATGGCACAATGGAAGACACAGTTGCAGATCAATGGTGAGAGAGCTGGGAGAGGTTAATATCAAGAGAGGAATATTTCAAGGAGATTCATTATCACCATTACTATTTGTTATTGCACTGTTTCCTCTGTCAACAATACTGAATAACTCAGGACATGGTTATCAAACATCAAAAACATCTGCTAGACTATCCCACCTCCTTTACATGGATGATCTGAAGCTGTATGGAAAAACATCATCTGAAATAGAATCGCTGCTCAACACTGTCCGTATATATAGCCAAGATATTGTAATGGAGTTTGGCTTGGACAAATGTGCCACACTTACTATCAAACAAGGAAAATAGTGAAAACTGAAGGAATCAAGATGCCCCACGAAAATAACATTAAGAGTCTGGATGAGGAAGAGTACTACAAATACTTGGGTATCCTTCAAGCTGACAACATCAAGCACACTGAAGTCAAGAAAAAGATTAGAGGTGAATACATCAAGAGAGTGAAGAAGATCTTAAAATCCAAACTCAATGGAGGAAATACCATAAAGGCAATCAAACCTGGGCAATCCCAGTCATTAGGTACACAGCTGGAATAGTGGACTGGACTCAAGCAGAACTAAAAGCAATGGATAGGCAGACCAGAAAAATAATGACAATGAATCATGCCCTTCATCCACGCAGTGACATTGATAGACTTTATCTACCAAGGCAAATAGGTGGGCGTGGAATGCTACAAGTACATCAGATGGTTGAAGAAGAAAAAATGGCTTTGGAAGAATATCTGAAGAACAATGATGAAGATGCACTGAAATTAGTATATCAGGAAGGCTTACTAACTACTGGAGAGACCAAACTGGCCTACAAGAAAGACCAAATGAAGAACAGAATAGAGGCATGGGAAGACAAAGCACTACATGGCCAATACATTAAAAAAATAGCTGGGAAAGCAGATAATAATAAAACCTGGCAATGGCTAAGAGCAGGAAAATTGAAGAAAGAGACCGAGGGACTAATTCTGGCTGCACAAGACCAAGCCTTAAGGACAAATGCATACAAAGTCAAAATTGAGAAGACAGCAACAGACAGTAAGTGCCGCCTATGCAAAGAAGCTGAAGAAACAGTGGACCACTTGGTAAGCTGTTGCAAGAAAATTGCACAGACTGATTACAAGCAGCGGCATGACAAAGTAGCAACAATGGTGCATTGGAAGATCTGCAAAAAATATCATTTGCCTGTAAGCAAAAACTGGTGGGATCATAAAATAGAGAAAGTCATAGAAAATGATAAAATTAAACTGCTCTGGGACTTCAGAATTCAAACAGACAAGCACCTGCAACATAACACCCCAGACTTAACAATTGTCGATAAGAAAGACAAAAAAGTCTGGATAGTGGACGTGGCAGTGCCTGGAGACAGCAGAATAGAAGAGAAAGAACTGGAGAAGATAACAAAATACAAAGACCTACAAATAGAAATAGAAAGACTGTGGCAAAAGCAAGCAAGGGTAGTACCAATAGTCATAGGCTCCTTGGGTGCAATCCCAAAACAACTGGAGCACCACTTGAACACCATTGGCATTGACAAATTTGCTATTAGTCAATTGCAAAAGGCGGCCTTATTAGGAACTGCTTCCATCCTGCGACGATACCTGTAATACCATCAAACATCCACATCTGCCTATCCCAGGTCCTGGGTAAGGACTCGATAGGTAGACAAAATGCCAAATCCAGTCTGAACATCTGGCTGACTGTGCGATGATCCACCATAATAATAATAATAATAATAAAGTTGGAAGGGACCTTGGAGGTCATCTAGTCCAACCCCCTGCTCAGGCAGGAAACTCTATGCCATTTCAGACAAATGGCTGTCCAGTCTCTTCTTAAAAACTTCCAGTGTTGGAGCATTTGCCGCTTCTGGAGGCAGGTTGTTCCACTGGTTAATTGTTCTAACTGTGAGGAAGTTTCTCCTTAGTTCTAGGTTGCTTCTCTCTTTGGTCAGTTTCCATCCATTGCTTCTTGTCCTACCTTCAGGCGCTTTGGAAAATGGTGTGACTCCCTCTTCTTTGTGGCAGCCCCTGAGATATTGGAACACAGCTATCATGTCCCCCCTCGTCCTTCTCTTCATTAAACCTGACATACCCAATTCCAGCAACTGTTCCTTATATGTTTTGGCCTCCAGTTTCCTGATCATCTTTGTTGCTCTTCTCTGTACTCTTTCTAGAGTCTCAACCTCTTTTTTACATCGTGGTGACCAAAACTGGATGCAGTATTCAAAATGTGGCCTTACCAGGGCATTGTAAAGTGGTATTAATACTTCACATGTTCTTGATTATATCCCTCTGTTAATGCAGCCCAGGACTGTGTTGGCCTTTTTGGCAGCTGCAGCACACGGCTGGCTCCTGTTTAAGTGATTGTCCACTAGGACTCCGAGGTCCCTCTCAGAGTTACTACTATTGAGCAAGGTACCCCCTATAGTACTATACCTGTACATTTGGTTTTTCTTGCCTAAATGTAGAGCTTTACGTTTTTCACCATTGAATTTCATTTTGTTAGATAGCGTCCAGTGTTCAAGTCTGTCCAGATCCTCCTGTATCCTAAGCCTGTCTTCTGGAGTATTGGCTATTCCTGCCAGCTTGGAGTCATCTGCAAGATAGATTCAGGATCCAAATGGATCGTGACAGACTTGAACACTGGACCCTATCCAACACAATGAAATACAATGTAGAGAAAAGTAAAGTTTTACACTTAGGCAGGAAAAAAAACAAATGTACAAGTATAGATTAGGTGAAACCTGGCTCAATAGTAGCAACTGTGAGTGGAATCTTGGACCTAATGAACAATCACTTAAATATGAGCCAGCAGTGTGCTGCAGCAGCCAAAAAAGCCAACAGAATCCTGGACTGCATTAACAGAGGAAAGAATCAAGATCACATGAAGTATTAGCACTGCTTTATAAACACTTAGTAAGACCACATCTGGAATACAGTATCCAGTTTTGGTCACCACATGATAAAAAAGAAGTTGAGACTTTGAAAAGAGAGCAAACAACAACTGAGGTGATTAAGGGCCTGGGGACTAAAACATATAAAGAACAGTTACAAGAATTGGGTATGGCTACTCTAGAGCAGTGGTTCTCAACCTTTCTAATGCCGTGACCCCATAATACAGTTCCCTATGTTGTGGTGACCCCCAAGTGGGTGTGGCCACCAATAAGAGGTAGTAGAACAGCTAAGGAAAAGGGAACAAAATGGTGGACAGCATGGTTTGGCGACCCCCATGAAATGGTCATTCGACCCCAAATGGGGTCCCGACCCACAGTTGAGAACTACTGGTCTAGAGAAAAGAAGGACTAGGGGCGACATGATAGCAGTGTTCCAATATTTGAGGGGCTGCCACAAAGAAGAGGGGGTCAACCTATTTTTTAAAGTACCAGAAGACAAAACTAAAAGCAATGGATGGAAACTAACCAAGGAGAGAAGCAGCCTAGAACTAAGGAGAAATTTCCTAACAGTGAGAACAATTAACCAGTTGTGGGTGCTCCATCACTGGAGGCTTTTAAAAAGAAACTGGACAGCCACTTGTCTGAAATATGTATAGGGTTAGGAGGTTGGACTAGAAGACCTCAAAATTCTTTCCAAATTGATTACTCTCTATCCTGTATTAACTGCTAACACTAGCACAATTCCTCTCGGTATCCGTTTCCCATTATGTGACCTACACACACTTGGGATCCCTTCATCTCCAAAGAATATAAATGCAGATATTAAATTGATTGTCCTCCCCACATACCCCTTGCGTTCTTCTTTCTAATTCTTTGTGTTGTCCTTTGTCGGTTCAGATAACTCATAACCCTACTCTGCCCTCAGCCAGGATGGCTAATAATGGAGAACAGAAGGAGTTCTACCGAAATACATTTTGAGGATTTTGGGGTGGGAAGTTTGGGTCACTACTAACTGCAGCAACTGTCCGAATTCAGGCATGTGTTGATTGTGTAAGTACACAAAATGTACGGGTATCTACATGTGTTTCTGTCTGCATGTATACACACTTTTGTTAGATGGACAGATTGTCTCTTGGTCTCTTTTTTGTTATCTGGATATCTGAGGAGGATGAAATTACTAGGAATATTCTTAAAACCTCTGCAAGCGATTCTCAAATGGTCAACCCTCCTTTCCAAACTACTAAAATTGGGGTTATCTAAATATCTAAAATTTTAGATATTTCTGCAAGGCGATCAAACCGGTCAGTCCTAGAAGAGATCAACCCCGACTGCTCTTTAGAAGGCCAGATCCTGAAGTTGAAACTCAAGTACTTTGGCCACCTAATGAGAAGGAAGGACTCACTGGAGAAGGGCCTAATGCTGGGAAAGATCGAGGGCAGTAGAAGAATGGGACGACAGAGAATGAGGTGGCTGGATGGAGTCACTGAAGCAGTAGGCGTGAGCTTCAATGGACTCCAGAAGATGGTAGAGGACAGGAAGGCCTGGAGGAATGTTGTCGATGGGGTCGCGATGGGTCGGACATGACTTCGCAACTAACAACAACAACAAAAATGTCAGAAATATTCTTTATATGATCAATCATTGGATGACAGTTTAACACAAAAACCTATTCAGCGAGTTGCCTGTTTGAGCAGTTGAGTTCAGGAGCTGAGACAGGGACTGATTCTCTTTTGGTCTCTTTCTGTTAACAGGTACGAGGGCTGGGCTAAATATTTTGGAACGGCGGGTGATGAATTAACACGAAACATTATCAATATCTTCATCGCCATGATCTGCACTCTAGGCCTGGTGGGCAATGGGGCGACAATTTATGTCCTGCTCTACTCCATTAAGAGGAATTCTTTTACCACTTACATCCTGAACCTTTCCATCGCTGATTTCGGGGTCCTCACCTCCCTTGTTATTGCCATTATATTTGTGACGGTTCTAACGCTGCAGAAAGAATTTGACCTTCTGTTTGTCTTTTTCTTGGTATTTTTCGAGTTCTTTTCCTTCGCCTATTCCGCCAGCCAGTTCCTCCTGACCGCCATCAGCCTGGATAGATGTGTGGCCGTCTTCTTCCCACTCTGGCATCGCTACCATCGTCCGCCGTATTTGCCCACCCTGGTTTGTGGCTTCATCTGGATCCTGTCCTTCCTGCTCTCTGCGGCGCACTTCATTCTGCACTGGAGCTGGAACTTTGAACGTTCCCCCTTCCTTTATCAGCTTGCTGTGAATGGTTTACTTTGTACGCCTCTCATGATTGTGTCCACCGTGACCCTCTGGATTCACATGAAGTGGTCTAAACGACAACGCAATCAAAGGAAGCTGCTCACCACCATTTTGCTGGTTCTTCTTTGCTTCCTCCTTTTTTCTCTCCCAATGAATGTCTTTTGTGTTGTTGACTATTTTGATTCCTATAATCTCCTGCTCATGACCATCGGGATGGGATGCGCCGCTCTTAACAGCAGCATCAACCCCCTCCTTTATTTCTTAGTCGGGAGGAAGCAGAGACAAAAGGACCAGCCCAGAACATCTTACAAGGTTGCTCTGGAAAATGTCTTCAGGGATGAGCAAGGAAGCCCAGAAGCCCAGGAAACTAAGACAGAAGACCAGTTGTGAAGAACCACTATCACTGTATAGTCATTTTTTTTAAAAAAAAAAGTCATAAAGGATATGTATGTAGCCTCAATACGAACATACAAAATTGACGGAATTTGCCAAACAGAATAGCTAATCCCCAAAGCAATGTAAACCGGAAATATTACTGTATGTGCAATTTTCAAAGTGAAGAGCTTTCATAGTAAATGGGTTGTGTTATACCATTCCTTTTTATTCCAACGTAACTGCTGTCAGGAATCCTTCTTGCTGCATGGCATTTTTTCAAATGTGTAATTTTGCAAGCTTTTGTCCCTAAAGCCCTTGATAGAAGAGCTTGAGGCTTCATTAAAAACTTGAAAGTTTGAGGAGTCCTTTCTGCTCTCTGAGCTTACTTGCTTTCTTGCAGACGTTTCATGACCCAACTAGATAACATCATCAGTGCTAGAAGGGAGTGGGATTTGTGGAGAGGAGGAGGAGGAGGAGGAGGAGGAGGAGGAGGAGGAGGAGGAGGAGGAGGAGGAGGAGGAGAGGCCTGGGGTGTCCTTGATCTTGATGCTCTTGTTATGGTTCCAGCTAATGAAACACTTCAAAGAACTTCCAGGCATTGATTTCCCTAAAAGTCTTTTATTGCTTCAAAATGTCGGCACAGGCATAACGAAGTCTATGCTTTTTAAGTTCTCTTCCTCTGAGCGGTTAAATTATCAGCATGTTCCCTCCCTAAATTAGCTGTCCTATATCACATTATCCAATTAGTGTGAAGGTCAAAGGTTTCCTTCCTCTTTCTTTCCCGGGCTTTACCCCCACCCTCTAAGCTCTATATTAACCCCAAAAATACCAGACAGTTCTGCATATTGTCAAAGCAAGAATATACAGTATTTGCAGCGTTGACAGCTCTCTGAGCTTGTTTGTTTTCTTGAGACGTTTCATGACCCAACTAGGTAACGTCATCAGTGCTAGAAGGAAGTAGGATTTGTGGAGAGGAGGAGGAGGAGGAGGAGGAGGAGGAGGAGGAGGAGGAGGAGGAGGAGGAGGAGGAGGAGAACTAATGAGTCCTTGGTGCTCTCTGAGCTTGGCTGTTTCTTGCAGACATTTCATTACCCAAACTAGGTAACATCATCAGCGCTAGAAGGGGGTGGGGTTTGTTCTCAGTTTATATTCTAGTGGCTTGCTGTGTCAGTGTTGGTAGGGGTTTAGTTGGCTGTTGGTCTGATGTTAATGAACAAATCGACTTAAACCAATCAGAACCAAAATGCATTTGGTCAAAAATGTACACTAACCAGCAACAAGATAAAATGGACGCTTGCATGTTTCCTGGAGTCATTTGCTTAACCAGCTCCTCAGAGTCACCTTCCCAGTGAGATGGGCACCATGTAAACTCAATAAATAATAAAAGGAAATTGCTGTCACCCTTAACCACATTCCTCTTTTAAGGGTTCAGGACTCCAAGATGTTCCCATTAGACTACGTTTCTGACAGGGCTCTTTAGATATTTTCTTCTGTCAAAATATGGTTGTATCTTTAAGGACTTCCTTTGCATATCGCAAGTGTGCGATGACACATCAAAATTCAAAGACGCCTACCGCCCAAGTTGTTGTTTTTTTCTGAGGAAAGTTGTGCTTTGGTCCAGCTCAGTTCTCCTTTCTGAGAGTAACTGTATTAAAGGCAGACCAGAGGGGTTATTGAACCCATGTCACCCCTGTTTCTTCTCTTCTTTAGACAAGCCAAACCCAAGTCCTGCAGCCGTTCTTCAAATGTTTTAGGAGAAGGGGTGGGTCATGCTAGGTGTGCAAATGACACAGCTGGAATTGGGTATATCTACTTTAATGAAGAGAAGGACGAGGGGGGACATGATAGCAGTCTTCCAATATCTCAGGGGCTGCCCCAAAGAAGAGGGAGTCAAGCTATTCTCCAAAGCGCCTGAAGGCAGGACAAGAAGCAATGGATGGAAACTAATCAAGGAGAGAAGCAACCTAGAACTAAGGAGAAACATCCTGACAGTTAGAACAATTAACCAGTGGAACAACCTGCCTCCAGAAGTGGTGAATTCCCCAACATAGAAAGTTTTTAAGAAGAGACTGGACAGCCATTTGTCTGAAATGGTATAGGGTTTCCTAGCTGAGCAGGGGGTTGGACTAGATGACCTCCAAGGTCCCTTAAACTCTGTTATTCTGTTCTATTCTATTCTATTCTATTCTATTCTATTCTATTCTATTCTATAGTGTTCTATTCTATTCTATAGTGACAATAAAGTTATTATTCTATTCTGTCTCTACTCTATTCTATTCTATTCTATTCTATTCTATTCTATTCTATTTTATTCTATTCTATTCTACTCTTATTCTATTCTATTCTATTCTACTCTACTCTACTCCACGCCACGCCACGCCACGCCACGCCACGCCACGCCACTCCATTCCATTCCATTCCATTCTATTCTATTCTATTCTAAAGTGACAATAAAGTTATTATTCTATCCTGTCTCTACTCTACTCTACTCTACTCTACTCTACTCTTATTCTTATTCTATTCTTATTCTATTCTATTCTATTCCATTCCATTCCATATTTTCTATTCTATTCTATTCTATTCTGTTCTGTTCTGTTCTGTTCTGTTCTGTTCTGCTCTGCTCTGCTCTGCTCTGCTCCTCTCCACTCCACTCCATTCCATTCCATTCCATTCCACTCTACTCTACTCTACTCTACTCTACTCTACTCTACTCTACTCTACTCTACTCTATTCTATTCTATTCTATTCTATTCTATTCTAAAGTGACAATAAAGTTATTATTCTGTCTCTACCCTACTCTACTCTACACTATTCTTATACTTATACTTATTCTATTCTATTCTGTTCTATTCTATTCTATTCTATTCTATTCCATTCCATTCCATATTTTCTACTCTACTCTACTCTACTCTACTCTACTCTACTCTACTCTACTCTACTCTACTCTATTCTATTCTAAAGTGACAATAAAGTTATTATTCTATCCTGTCTCTACTCTACTCTACTCTACTCTTATTCTTATTCTCCTTAGTTCTAGGTTGCTTCTCTCCTTGATGATGAGTTTCAACCGGTTGAGTAGTCCTCGACTTATGACCGGTTGGGGGTCACGGCATTAAAAAGGTTGAGAACCACTGGTCTAAATGTTAGTCACTATCCTGGTTTCCCCCCCCCCCACAAAAATCATCCATGGAGCTCACTTTCTAGACTATCAACAGCCTTATTTAAACAAAGTGGCCTTGTTGAGAGAACACAGCCAACTTACCTTTATCTGCAGTTGCACAATGTGTTGGGCTACAGAGGAACTAAAAGGACTCTTTTTGCGCAAATGTAAAGGGAGAAGGAGGAGGAGGAGGAGGTGGAGGAGGAGGAGGAGGAGTAGGAGGCATTCTAAGTACTCCCAATCTGGGTGGTTCCACAAAAGCTCTCATTGGAAAGAACTGGGTTAGAACTAATACCCCCTGGAGGGAAAGAAAGAAAGAAAGAAAGAAAGAAAGAAAGAAAGAAAGAAAGAAAGAAAGAAAGAAAGAAAGAAGGAAGGAAGGAAGGAAGGAAGGAAGGAAGGAAGGAAGGAAGGAAGGAAGGAAGGAAGGAAGGAAGGAAGGAAGGAAAAACAAAAGTAGCCAGGCCATATGTCCTTCTCTAAAAACTGTGATGGAAGTCACTGTTCATATCCTGAGAATTATAATTCATTTCTCTTCCAGAAATGAAGTGGAAGATTACTCTTGGCAGGTAGAAAAGAAAAGTGGGAACAATCCAGCATTACATGAATCTTTCAGAAAGATTGTTTTTGAAATGTGCATCTCAGTGGCCAGAGGCAAACACATGACTTCTGCACAACAGTTGTTTGCTAAATTTATATCCTTCCTTTCCGACAATGTTCAATCTAACAGTAGATAAAAATGGGAAGTATAAACCACAAGAAGAGATGACTACAATTTTAATTAAAGCAAAATTAAAATCCGTATCATTAAAATCCATTGTGCAATATATGTAAACATGCAAGACATATTAATGAATACACACGCACACACACATACACACATATACATACATACATACATACATTGGATGGATGCTAACACAGAATTACATTTTCAGAATCACTGATCAATAATTCTCACTAGTAAATGAACTGAATAACTGAAGGTGAGGGTAAAATAGCTAGGAGCATCAAAGCAGCTGAAAGGGTTTTTGGAGCATTTTGACTTATGCCTGCAGATGAACAAACATTAGGTGCAGAAATCTGAAAATAAGGAAAACCATTCATTTAGCTTCTCATAATTGATTACCGAGATTGAAGAAAAGTTTAACCCCCTTTCACCCATGAGTTATTTCATCAAGTCAGCTCAAGTCAGCAGGATCTGCTCAAAATGACTTGAAAATCACAGTTACAACTGAATAAACGACAAACTAATTTCCTAATCTCCTTGGCGTTACATTTTTGGCAGTCCTGGATTTCCAGAGGAGATTTCTCTGAATTCATTATCAGGGCCTGGCAGGGCAGTATAGAAATATGGATTTTTTTTCCCCCACTCTCGTGAGCACATCATGACTGGATATCAACCTGGACCTCTGCCTGCTTTTCATTTTCGTCTTCCTCCTTGAAAACTCTCTGAAGGATAGTGTTTAAGTTGTACGTAGAATGATGTTCCTTCTTCCTCCCCAGTAGAAAATAGATCAGTGGGTTAACACTGCTGTTAAGACAGGCGCATAGGTAGCCATATGTAATTAAATTGTCATAATTATGCTTGAAAAGAACATCACTGAGATAAATGGCGCTGGGTGGAATAGAAAAGATGAGGAAGAAAAACAGGGCAAGCAAGGCGACTTTGAGAAGTTTTCCACGCTTCTGCATCTGTGATTTAAGGTAGCCTTTGATGAAGAGGGCCAGGCTGGAGACCACCATGAGTGGGATGCAAATGGAGCTACAGATGAGAATGTGGTAGAATGAGGGGAAGTTTCTCGTCAGATTAACCCCAAACAGAACATAATGAATTACACAGAGGAGCAAAGAGACCAGCCATGAAAAGGCACAGAGTATAGTGGACAAGTATGCTGGCTGATGGCATCGATACCAAATTGGGAAGAAGAGAGCCAAACATCGGTCAATGCTAATGATAGTCAGAAGAAATTGACCAGTGCAGTAAGTGGATATCATACATTCTGTTATTATTAGGGGGGGGAAACTCTTAATCAAGTACAGGATTTCCATCAGAAAGAGGAATACGAGAGTCCCACTGTCAGCCACAGCCAAATTGAGGATATAGACAGTGAAAGAATTCCTTTTAATCTTGAAACCCAAAAGTCGGATGATAATTCCATTTCCAATAATCCCTGGAATACAGATTAAAATGATTAAAGAATAGATGACTTTTTTCTGATATTCAGGCTCATACATGCTGCTCTTTGAGTGGATGACCTCAGTCTGATTGTGTTCAAGATATCGGAATGCCAGACTTCCGATGTTGGCATCCGTCATTCCAGAAAAGATGGTTTTTGTATTGCTTGCTGTCTTCTGTGGAAATGAATCTCACTTTGATTTTTTTTTTTTTTTACTAGTTGCTGCTTCTCGTTGAAAGTTAAAGATGGACCCAGGCAGCTAAAGGACAAACCGCTTATTTTTAGCCAACAGGCATCAAACGATGTTTGCAAATGTTCTGATTTTTCCACGAAGGATGGCAGAGGATGTGGAAAAATTCACCCGAAGATCTTCAGCAGAAGTCAGTTGGGTTGTGCTTTTGTGTACTTCTGCATTGGTTCTTGCTCAGGAAGGCAAACATGGTGGCATCAGGGTCTGTAGATTATTTTCTCCCATCAGTTTTCAGCCATATGGGTCAATTCATCATCTGGCGTGTATAACATTTCACAACCAGTGAAAAATTTGACTCCTGCAGAGTAAAGGACTTGCTTTGCCTTAGTCTCTCCACACAATCAAAGCAGAAACGACTCACGGAAAATAGTTAAGTTGGTCACTTTGCCGGTTAAAAGAGGAAATTCTCAGTTTTGTGGGTTGTTAGGTTCCCTCTGCTTCTTTGTAAGAACTATGTCATATCTAAAGTTTTAAAAAAAAAGTGGTTATAGGATCATTTTAAGGGCATACAATACAGTACGGATCTTTCCCTCCTTTAAAGTGTAAATAAACGGCTGTACAAAGTTATTAATCATAATTCTTAAACCCCCCCCCCAAAAAAATGTTCCCATTGGGACCAGCTATAAGTAACAAAACATTTAATAACATTCTTCTTGGCTTTTGTGAAGGCTGTAGGAAGTCAGCACTTCCCCACCACCACCGAGAATGAAATATTTAGGGGAATATTAAAAAAGGAAGGATAGAATATTTTCCCTAAAGTAGAAGTGAAGAAAAAAATCTTTTTTTTTATTAAAAAGTTTTTATTTTCCATTTATTCATACAAAATACAATTCAATTAAAATAAATTCCTAACCATTGGTACCGCCTGCCCATTCCCCCCAGGCTGCGTCCATCCTCTCTAAACCTTCCCCACTTCCCTCCTCTTTCTTTCCTCCCCTCCTACTCTCTTCCCCTCCCCTTCTCCTCTAACCATCCTACTTCCACCTTACTCCTTCCTCCCCTCTCATCCCTCTCACACACATGAACGCAGCATAGGGGAAATACCCAAGCATTTACCATGACTATATTATCATTACCCACCCACTCACCCACCCACCCACCCTCGCTTCCCAGAGCAGCGTACAGGGTTATTAATAAGAAAGTTAACAATAATAAAAAAAAAGAAAAAAAGAAAGAAAAAAGGAAAAAAACCATCATACTTAACCTTTAACTCCCCTTAAATTAAGTCATATAAACAAATCTCTACAACAGTTACTATCAAATTTTACTCATAAAATAAATGAAACTTTATAGTCCCATATTTTTTCTGAATATAATCTATCCATCTTCTCCATACAATAATGTATCTTTCTTGTGTATGATCCTTCAAATAAGCAGAAATTTTTGCCATTTCTGCAAAGTTAGAAACTTTAAATATCCATTCTTCTAAAGAAGGCAACGAGTCCTTCTTCCAATACGAGCCTACTAATAGTGAAGAAAAAAATCTTAACAAAGGCAGAAACATCCCATCTTCCTGCCTCAAGCAGAAACCTGGAGAAGCTAATATCTAGAAATGGAGATTTTGTAATCCATTCAGAAAGCCTTGGCCACCCTATTCATAAGCAAAACGCCTTCAGCCCCAGCCCCCACAGAAGGCTGGAGCTGGTGGGATTAGAAAAACAAAGACTCCTAAAATCTACGTTCCCTACCCAGCATGATCTCCCAACCATAATGGGAGTCAGGCAACAATAATTAGAATACTAAAAGGGCACAATCAAACACAGTCAAACAAAGTACATTACACAAGGAACAGGCATCTCAAAGACAAAACCCACCTACTCTTAATTCCATTTTGTCAGCTGTCCCAGAACCACATGCTGTTGTTGGTTCTGCTCCTTAAGAAACAGAGACCTTCTTTCCTAAGCAGCTAGCCTCCATTTTATTTCCAGCACCTTTCTCCAGGATTGAAATTGGACCTAACTTTTCTTTCAACAAGTCCAAGATAAACATCACAGGAAAAGAAAACATTATTCTTTGGAATCATTAACTGATGAATATCTTCCCTACTAAATATTTCTAATAATGTAGAAGAGTGTTGGTGACAATTTAGCAAGGATTCTAGGTAGCTACCATCTCATTGAACTAAACCAAACCAAACCATACTGCAAACTAATGAAATGAAATAAACTATACAATGAAACAAAAGCCATATACAACACCAGAGAAGCCACCTCAAAATCATCTCCTGCCCCAAGCCAATCCTCTTTTGTGGAATGGCTCAAACGTAAGGACATATTTTCGCAATAATATAAAATGTGTAATTCCTTGACCTGAAAAAGCAATGAATGTAGGAGAGAAAGAGCAGGAAAAACAAAACAAAAGACAAAACAAGAACATTTGAAAGATAGGAGACAATTGGATAGATCAGTAGTAGATAATTGCAGAAACATTTCTGCTCTTTGTGTCTTGAAAAAAAACATATTCAAGGAGTTCAGCAGCACAACATGACATATCCAGAGAAGGTTCTCCAGAATGAATATGAGGAGCTTAGAATTGGTTCACAGGTGGGAAAAAAATCAGTAGAAGAGGACCAAGAGGGACACATGAAATTTCTGACAAACATTAAAAGGAAACAATATTCTTGACAAATAGCTTGATATTTATCAATATTGATATTTATCAATATTGATATTTATCAATATTCTTGATAAGTAGCTACATCTGTCAAGAAAAGCAAGAGCAAATGTGTGGGTCACTGCAACCTGAAAAGAACTATGAGACCACATGCTTAAGCCTGAGACTTCTTGGCCCTGTGTTTACAATTCAGTGTTACACAATGGAAACACTCTAAGGCACAATACACCGGAGGTGTCAGAAACCTCCACGCTGTCTCCAAACAGATATGAAAACTCAGTTGGAGCTATTACCGCTTTTATGACAAGTTGGCTAGCATAAAAATACAGGTGACTACATCTAGAAATGGTATATAAGGAATATATAAGGAACAGTTGGTGGAATTAGGTATGTCTAGTTTAATGAAGAGAAGGACAAGGGGCGGGGTATGATAGCAGTGTTCCAATATCTCAGGGGTTGCCACAAAGAAGATGGAGTCAAGCTATTCTCCAAAGCACCTGAAGGCAGGACAAGAAGCAACGGATGGAAACTAATCAAGGAGAGAAGCAAGCTAGAACTAAGGAGAAATTTCCTGACATTTAGAACAATTAACCAGTGGAACAACCTGCCTCCAGAAGCGGTGAATGCTCCAACACTGGAAGTTTTTAAGAAGAGACTGGACAGCCATTTGTCTGAAATGGTATAGGGTTTCCTGCCTGAGCAGAGGGTTGGACTAGAAGACCTCCAAGGTCCCTTCCAACTTTATTATTATTATTATTATTATTATTATTATTATTAGTAGTAGTAGTAGTAGTAGTAGTATACTCTACCCAACTATTTAACTGATTTTTTTTTTAATAACTGGTCATCTGTGATGGATAACCTTTCATCAGAAATCATACTATCAAATCCTTGCAGTTTTTGAGACTTATTCTGAATTGAGATTTTTTTATATATATAAAACAGCTACCATAACGACAGTTTTGTCTTTGCTAAGGACATACCTGGTGGTGATGCACAAGAATAGATCTCTTTGAGAATCTGAGGCAGTTCAGAAAGCTAGATTTCTTTGATGAATCCAGTTTGGTCTGCATTTGATGTGGCTATGGTGAGCACGCAGAATTTATTCAGCATCAGAAAAGAAAAGAGGAACGTCCTTAACATTTTGCAATAGTCGTGGAAAGAGAGGGTGTTCTCTATATATGTTTTGCAAAATCTTAATCATAATTTGGAAGGAGAACCAAAACTCAGCCCTGTTTATATCTTCTGTAAGACTGGGAAAACCCATACAAGTGAATGCGAAACCTGTTTCATCCTTTGTTTGCAAACATGAGTTATTTTTGAAATTATTAAATGAAAATTAAAGCCAATTTAATGGATGGATGGATGGATGGATGGATAAATAGCTTTATGTCTTTCTATTAGTTGTGAGGTTCATTAGAAGATTGAACAATGCTGGTACTGATATTGATTAGCATGTGTTCTTGAGGATATAGACGGGGTTTAAAAGGATTATTTGGAGCAATGGAAATAAAAAAAGAAACTTTAGTGCTGTGTTTTTTCCAAGATACAAAAGGCATCACACGTGGAGCTTACCCTTGAAGAATATTCAGAACTACAGTTGATCCAGAATGGAGCTGCCTACGTAGTTGTGAGCAATTTTCATTTTGTCCATGTGACACTTCTACTTTGTAAATTGCACTAGTTACCAGTGGGCTTGCAGATATAATTCCCAGAGCTGGTCGTCACCAGTAAAGGTCTTCATGGCTTAACACTGGACACTTAAGAGACCAGCTTTCTTTGTTTGTTTTTGGATCACCTGTAAAATTTGGCAGAGTGGGTTCATTCCAGGTCCCACCTATCAACAGTGTCTTTTGGAAGGCCTAAATACTGTATTTTCCGGCGTATAAGAGGACTTTCTAAACCATGCAAATCTTCTCCAAAGTCGGGGATCGTCTTATACGCCGGAAAATACGGTATTTGTCTTCTGTGTGACTAGTGCCTACCCTATGAAGATACATTCCTTCTGAATTCTGTCTGGCTTCAACCTTTCTGCATATTCACAAGTCTTGAAAGGTTTCTTCAAAATCCCTTCCAGCAGGCCCCGAGAAAGAAGGCTTTATGATCAACTCTCTGAAATTAGATTAAAATTTTGTCTTCCCTGTGTTACAGAACTTCAAATGCTTATAGAATCTGCCTCCTGCATTGTTCAGTAAAGAAATGAGTGTCCCGGGCCCTTTTCTGCAGACAAAACATCCCTTCCTTTCTTTGTTTCTCTTAATAGTATTACTGGACAGATTAAGGGACAAATGTCATCTTCTCTGTTGCTAACTGAGGTTTGTACAGGAGAAATTAGTCATCATGGTGTCCTTGGTGGTCTCTGAGCTTGTTAGCTTGCAGATGTCTTATTGCCAAAAGGAAAACTACCATCACTGGCAGGGCAAGCTACTGTCGTCAACATCCAGTTTGAGGATCCAAATAAGTCACCAGGTTCATTCCATTTCCAAAAATCTTACTGTTTATTGAACTCACGGCATGGTACTGTCAAACTAAAACTCTAAGGTTCCTAGACACCAGATCATAGAATTAACAATAATCTCTCCAGCCAAACCCCTTACCTTCTCACGTAGTCTCTATAAATAATTTCACTTCGTTATGGGAACTGTCTGCTTCTCCTCCACACCTGCTGCAGTGTCCTTGGAAAGATTTCAGGCTCTCACGGTCTTCAGAGGAGAGGTTTCACTTCTCCAGCTAAACCCTTCCAAAGCAACACCTCCCCCCCTCCAAATCTAATGCCAAGTTGAAACGAAGAGACATGTAGCTGCCAAAGGTTCCTTCTTGTTAACTGTATATAAACAGGCTTCAACCCCCACACTCAGGTGCCTTGATGAAACCTAGTTTGGTAATGAAAAGATCTGCAAGGAACAAACAAGCTCAGAGGCCATCAAGGACTCCACAATTCTCTTTGTGGAAATTAGTCATTTCATCTTGATATCTGTTGTGGTTATCACATTTCTTTGCTATGGTGATCTGACCAAAATAAAACTCTTTCAACTCTTGTGTTCTTCTGCTTCCTGCCTACATTGCCTGGCCTTATCTTCTGCTTATCCCTGAGATCACAAAGATAGCTCTGCTTTTGGAGTCCTTTGTAGTCACTGAGTGAAGTTGTTTGTTTGCAAATCTTTCATTATCACAGAGAAAACCACATCCCCACGAACAGACATCCAGCTTTGCTCATCACAGTATAAAAAAGATCTTGTGACTCTGGAAAGAGTGCAGAGAAGAGCAACAAAGTTGATCAGGGGGCTGGAGGCTAAAACATATGAAGATTGGTTGCAGGAATTGGGTAGGTCTAGTTAAGTGAAGATTGCCAGGAGATTGCTGGGAGAAATATCAACAACCTAAGATATGCAGATGATACCACTCTAATGGCAGAAAGTGAAGAGGAACTAAAGAGCCTCTTGATGCGGGTGAAGGAGGAGAGTGCAAAAGTAGGCTTGAAACTCAACATTAAGAAAACCAAAATCATGGCATCCAGCCCTCTCAATTCCTAGCAAATAGATGGGGAAGAAATGGAGGTAGTGACAGATTTTATTTTTCTGGGCTCCAAGATCATCTCAGATGGGGACTGCAGCCAAGAAATTAAAAGATGCTTGCTCCTGGGGAGGAAAGCTATGGCAAATCTAGACAGCATACTAAAAAGCAGAGACATCACCCTGCCAACAAAAGTGCGTATAGGCCATGGTTTTCCCAGTTGCAATGTATGGCTGTGAAAGTTGGACCATAAGAAAGGCTGAGCGTAAAAGAATTGAGGCCTTTGAACTATGGTGCTGGAGAAGACTCCTGCGAGTCCCTTGGACTGCAAGGCGTTCAAACCGGTCAGTCCTAGAAGAGATCAACCCTGACTGCTCTTTAGAAGGCCAGATCCTGAAGTTGAAACTCAAATACTTTGGCCACCTAATGAGAAGGAAGGACTCACTGGAGAAGGGCCTAATGCTGGGAAAGATTGAGGGCAATAGAAGAAGGGGACGACAGAGAATGAGATGGCTGGATGGAGTCACTGAAGCAGTAGGTATGAACTTAAATGGACTCCAGAAGATGGTAGAGGACAGGAAGACCTGGAGGAACGTTGTCCATGGGGTCGCGATGGGTCGGACACGACTTCGCAATTAACAACAAAAAGTTAAGTGAAAAGAAGGACTAGGGAACAAATGATAGCAGTGTTCCAATATCTGAGGAGGGTAACCAATTTTCCAAAGCACTTGAAGGCAGGACAAGAAACTAATCAAGGAGAGAAGCAACCTAGAATTAAGGAGAAATTTCCTGATAGTAAGAACAATCAACCAGTGGGACGACTTGCCTCCAGAAGTTATGGGTGCTCCATCACTGAAGGCTTTTAAGAAGAGACTGGACAGGCACTTGATGAAATGGTACAGGGTTTCCTGCCTGAGCAGGGGGTTGAACTAGAAGTCCTCCAAGGTCCTTTCCAACTCTGTTATTCAGTAGACATCAAACCCCACACTTGCTCACATTGAAGATGCTACCTTAATGGGGTAATGAAATGTCTGCAAGAAAAAAAAAACAAGCTCAGAGAGCATCAAGGACCCCACCACAAGTCCAGTCCTGAACTACGCATATTCTCTTCCACTGAAATGAGTCATTTCCTTTTGCTTCCTGTTGTGGTGATCACACTCTCTTGCTGGGGTTACCTTGATCAAAAGCAAACCACATGCAACCCTCCCCATTGCTCTTGTGTTCTTCTGCTTTCTGTCTGCATTGCCTGGCCTTGTTTTCTGCTGGTTCCTGAGACTGAAAAGATCGCTCTGCTTTTTCCTGGTTTATAACACTATTCGGTGTGTTGGTTTTTGCTGATGGACTATCATCACTATTGTTCATTGTTCTTATTCATATGTTGTGATTTGGGGGAGGGGAAATTCTCTGTTTTAAGCCTAATTAAGATTTGTAAGTTTTTGTTGCCTTTATGACTGAGATAGCTTATCGTCTGCTTTAGCTTATATACTTATTATATTCAAATCAATGAAAAAAAAAGAATATAAGGCCTGGAAGGACTTATAATAATAATAATAGAATAGAATTTGTCCCAGATTTCAAAATAATCTAACTCAGTCTTATCCTTCATTTCCATTGTGAGCCTGTCCATATCAGCGACTATCCGGGTTATAATCTAGTGTTAAGATAGAAATATATATAATTGTATGTTAGTAATTAGAGAAATGAATTAGATATTGTATAGAAAAATATGCATGTGTATATAGATATAAAGAATTATATGTAAGAAGAGGATCAAATTGTTAGAAATACTTGTACTGGAATGTTACGTTATGTCCACTTTTTTTAATTATATTATAAATATTTTTTTAAAAAATAAATAATAATAGAATAGAGCTGAAAGGGATCTTGGAGGTCTTCTAGTCCAACCCCCTGCTCAAGCAGGAGACCCTATACCAGTGATGGTAAATCTTTTAGAGATTGAGTGCCCAAAACCTGGTCCCGCCTTGGCTCCACCCCCTGCCCCACCCCCACTCCATCCCCACCCCCCCTGCACACAGGGCCACTCACTGCCTCCAGGGCCCATCACAGATCACCCAGCAGTGCCATGGTGGCCACACCCACTGCCAGTGCCCCAGAGCAGCAACTGTGCGCGATGGGGTGTGACGGCAGAGTCTTGTCTATGCTGCCTGGCTGCCATGTTCTTGTCTCCGCTGCTCTGCATGGGCCATGCTCGGGGGTGACTCTCCTCCAGGGAGAGGAAGGGGTGAGGAAGGGGTTGCTATTTGGTGAAAACATCATTAGAGAAATTACTCTCCAAATTATTCTCCAAAGCACCAGAGGGCAGGATAAGAAACAATGGTTGGAAATTGATCAAGGAGAGAAGCAACCTGGAATTAAGGAGAAACTTCCTGACAGTGAGGACAATTAAATAGTGGAACAGCTTGCCTCCCAAAATCATGGGTGCTCCATCACTGGAGGTTTTTTAAGAAAAGACTAGACAGACACTTATCTGAAATGGTATAGGTTCTCCTGCTTGAGCAGGGGGCTGGACTAGAAGACCTCCAAGGTCCCTTCCAGCTCTATTCTATTCTACAACCTGGGCAGTCCCTGTTATTCAATATGCAGCAGGAATAGTTGCAGATGGAATTTGGTAACTTGGATCAGAAAACAAGAAAACTAATGACAATGCACCATGCTTTAAACCCCAAAAGCAATATTAATTGGCTGTATCTGTTAGGAGTCAAGGAGGACAATTTGGAAAAAAAAAATCTATGGGAAACTCAGAAAGACTATAATGAAAATCCTGAATGAATAAAAGAATTTGAAGATGAATTTAGTAAAGATCAAATGGAAGATCTAATAATAACAACAGAAAGGATTGAAGAAATGTTGTAAAAAGGATTTAAAAACTAACATCTTCATAAGAAAAATCAAA